TCCGGTTCTGGCTCCGGTTCCGGCTCCGGTTCCGGCTCCGGTTCTGCCTCCGGCTCTGCCTCCGGTTCTGCCTCCGGTTCTGGCTCCGGTTCTGGCTCCGGTTCCGGCTCCGGTTCTGCCTCCGGTTCTGCCTCCGGTTCCGGCTCCGGTTCTGCCTCCGGTTCTGCCTCCGGTTCTGGCTCCGGTTCTGGCTCTGGCTCTGGTATTGGCACTAGCGTTGGCTCTGGCACTGGCACTGGTTCTGGCTCTGGCACTGGTTCCAGCTCTGGTTCCAGCTCTGGCTCTGGCATCGGCACTAGCGTTGGCTCTGGCTCTGGCTCTGGCTCTGGCACTGGCACTAGTGTCGGCTCTGGCACTGGCACAGGTTCTGGCTCTGGCACTGGCTCTGGTTCCAGCTCTGGTTCCAGCTCTGGCTCTGGCATTGGCACTAGCGTTGGCTCTGGCATTGGCACTAGCGTTGGCTCTGGCACTGGCACTGGCTCTGGCTCTGGCACCAGCTCTGGTTCCGGCTCTGACTCTAGCGTTGGCTCTGGCACTGGCACAGGCGTTGGCTCTGGCACCAGCTCTGGTTCCAGCTCTGGTTCCGGCTCTGGTTCTGGTTCAGGCTCTGGTTCTGGTTCTGGTTCAGGCTCTGGCTCTGATTCCAGCTCTGGTTGAGGCTCTGGCTCTGGTTCCAGCTCTGGTTCCAGCTCTGGTTCAGGCTCTGGCTCTGGTTCCAGCTCTGGTTCCAGCTCTGGTTTCGGCTCTGGCTCTGGTTCCGGCTCTGGCTCTGGCTCTGGTGTCGGGGTCTGTGCAGAAGTCGAGGTGACCTCTGGCTCTGGAGTCGGGGTGCAGTTCAGCTCCGGTGCTGGACCGGATATGTCAGCTGGGCTCAGGCCGGTCTGGAGCAGGATCCAGTTGTAGAAGTGCTGAGTGGAGGTGTAGACCCCGGGGTGCCTGGCTCTGTCACAGCCTTTTCCCCAGCTGCTCATTCCCACAAGCCAGAAGGAGTCAGCTCTGTTGTCCTTGCAGATGAGAGGATTCCCGCTGTCCCCCTGTGCCAGGAGAGAAGGCTCAGAGGCTGTGGTGGACTGCTGCCATCCCCAGGGCCACCTCCTCTCTCCCATCCCAGGGCTGGCTCCTCTCTCCCATCCCAGGGCTGGCTCCTCTCTCCCATCCCAGGGCTGGCTTCTCTCTCCCATCCCAGGCTTTTCTCCTCTGTCCCATCCCAGGATTTTCTCCTCTCTCCCATCCCCAGGATTTTCTCTTCTCTTCCATCCCCAGGATTTTCTCCTCTCTCCCATCCCCAGGATTTTCTCCTCTCTCCCATCCCCAGGGTTTTCTCCTCTCTCCCATCCCAGGGTTTTCTCCTCTCTCCCATCCCAGGGTTTTCTCCTCTCTCCCATCCCCAGGGTTTTCTCCTCTCTCCCATCCCCAGGCTTTTCTCCTCTCTCCCATCCCAGGCTTTTCTCCTCTCTCCCATCCCAGGATTTTCTCCTCTCTCCCATCCCAGGATTTTCTCCTCTCTCCCATCCCAGGGCTATCTCCTCTCTCCCATCCCCAGGATTTTCTCCTCTCTCCCATCCCCAGGCTTTTCTCCTCTCTCCCATCCCCAGGATTTTCTCCTCTCTCCCATCCCCAGGGTTTTCTCCTCTCTCCCATCCCCAGGCTGGCTCCTCTCTCCCATCCCAGGATTTTCTCCTCTCTCCCATCCCCAGGGTTATCTCTTCTCTCCCATCCCCAGGGTTGTCTCCTCTCTCCCATCCCCAGGGTTTTCTCCTCTCTCCCATCCCCAGGCTTTTCTCCTCTCTCCCATCCCCAGGCTTTTCTCCTCTCTCCCATCCCAGGATTTTCTCCTCTCTCCCATCCCCAGGATTTTCTCCTCTCTCCCATCCCAGGGCTGGCTCCTCTCTCCCATCCCAGGCTTTTCTCCTCTCTCCCATCCCCAGGGTTTTCTCTTCTCTCCCATCCCCAGGATTTTCTCCTCTCTCCCATCCCCAGGCTTTTCTCCTCTCTCCCATCCCCAGGATTTTCTCCTCTCTCCCATCCCCAGGCTTTTCTCCTCTCTCCCATCCCCAGGGTTTTCTCCTCTCTCCCATCCCCAGGCTTTTCTCCTCTCTCCCAGCCTCTGCCAGGTCCACATTCCCAGCCTGGGAAGGTTCAGCTCAGGGTCCAGAGCCTCCAGGCCCTGGGCTGGGAGCAGCTCGGGGGCTCTCCCATCTCTGCAGGTGGGTCCCAGATGTGTGGAGGACAGATGTTCCGGGGTCACATCCGTATTTTTGGGGCTCACACGGGACAGGCTGGGCTGTGTGTGGGGGCTCCTACCTGGCAGGTGTCGATGCCACCCTGCGGGTACCCAGCACACAGGTTGTCAGCATGAATGGCCCCCGCGTACCATGGGCTGCTGTTGCACAGCTCCGTGTCCATGAGGTGGACCTTGGACTCCTGCAGCACCATGCCTGTTCCCTGAGCTGTGGGCACAGAAGGGAATGAGCCCCCAGCAGGTCGGTGCCCATCCCCTCCCCTGCCTGGGGTGAACTGCTTCCCCTGGTCTGGCTCAGCCCCTTCCCTGGGACTGGCTTTGCCTCCAAGTGACTCGTCCAGCTGCGTCCCTGCTGTTGGCTCTGGGGAAGGGGCCAGACCCATCTCTCCAGAAGCTTCACAGTCGTGGAATTGTTTGGGTGGGAAAGGACTTTAAAGT